CCCCTGTGTTCAGGGCAGGTGATGTTAGACACACAGGTTGCTTCAGGTTTCTGGGAAGGATCTGAACCTTAGTGACCAGGTAAGCAGGATCGGGGGCTTGACAGGGCCGCCCAAGGGCCACAGTTCTGGGGGACAGACACACCTATCACTATCAACACAATACGTGCTCTCAAAACCCTAAATCGGATGTGCCTGGACCAGGATGTGGGTAACTGGGCCAAACACCTCCCTTGGGTGGGCCAGAAACCGTAGTGGCTCAGGAGTGCCAGCTAGAAAATGTGCAGTATTAGGGGCGCCCGGGGGGCTCAGTCGGTTGAGCGTCCGACTTCGGCTCAGGTCACGATCTCACCGTTCCCGAGTTCGAGCCCCGCGTCGGGCTCTGTGCTGACAGCTGGGAGCCTAGAGCCTGCTTCCGATTCTGTGTCTCCCTCTCTGTCTCTGCCCACCCCCCACTCACACTCTGTCTCTCTCTCTTTCTCAAACATAAATTTAAAAAAAACATTTTTAAAAATGTGCAGGATTTTGGAAGCTGATTGTCAAACACGGATGCCATCGAGAGTTCAATTACATAAACTCCCAACTACACAAGCTATATTTGAAACAAGGGCAACATTTACTCCAAACTCCCGTCTTATCATTTTGCTACATTTACTATTATTTATATCCTTGGGGTCCTTTGCATTAGGGGATCTGGGCAGCGGGAATAACTACACTCCCGTGTGCTTCTGGGCGGCTCCTGGTTTTGCCTTCACTGGTGTTACATTGTAGCTAGAAATTGGTTGTGGTGTAAGCAGTTATACCCCAGAAATTGGCAAAGGTAAATCAAGGGTGACTGGTTGTGACACGTTTAGCAGCATACCACAAGCCATAACTTAAAAAAAAAAAAAAATTTGTTTTTGGTTTTCCCTCGAAATAGACTTTATTTTTTTTTAGGGAAGTTTCAGAGTCACAGCGAAGGTGAGCAGGAAGTTCTCATCCCCGTGCCCCGCCCCTCCCACACGGTCGGCCCCACCGTCAACCTCCTCCGTTTGTCTGTCGCAGTTCAGGAACGCACATTGGCACATCATTGGCACCCCGTCCATAGGGTTTGGACAAATGGATAATGACAGTTACCCACCATTACAGTATCCTACGGAATGGTTTCGCTGCCCTAAAAAATACCATATTCTACCTGTTTATCCCTCCCCCGGATGCCCACCCCTTTTTCTTGTTTGCATAGTTTTGCCTTTTCCAGAATGTCATACGGTTGGAATCATACAGGGTGTGGCCTTTTCAGATTGACTTCTTTCACTCAGTAGGATGCATTTAAAGTTCCTTCATTTCTTGGGGCGCCTGGGTGGCTCCGTCGGTTAAGTGTCCAACTTCAGCTCGGGTCACGATCTCGCAGTTCGAGCCCCAGTTCGTGAGTGCGAGCCCCGCGTCGGGCTCTGTGCTGATGTCTCAGAGCCCGGAGTCTGCTTCGGATTCTGTGTCTTCCTCTCTCTCTGCCCTTCCGATGCTCACACTCTGTCTCTCTCTGTCTCAAAAATAAATAAGCATTAAAAAAAAATTTTTTTTTTAAGTTCCTTCATTTCTTTTCCTGGCTTGATAGCTCATTTCTTTTAAAGCCGAATAATATTCTGTTGTCTGGATGGACCACGGTTCATCTGCTCACCTTCCAAGTTTTGGTAGCTATGAATAAAGCTGCTGTGAGCGTCCACATGCGGCTTTTGGTGTGGACGTGGGTTTTCAACTCCTTTGGGTAAATACCAAGAAGCGCGATTGCTGGGTCACATGGTTAAGAGTAGGCTTAGTTTCGTAAAAAAAACCTGACCAACTGGCTTCCAAAGTGGCTGCACCATTTTGTATGCCCACCAGCCGTGAACGAGAGTAAACCTGGGTTGTTTAGGGGCGCCCGGGTGGCTCAGCCGGTTAAGCATCCGACTTCGGCTCAGGTTATGATCTCAAAGTCCATGAGTTCGAGCCCCACGTCGGGCTCTGTGCTGACAGCTCCGAGCCTGGAGCCTGCTTCCGATTCTGTGTCTTCTCTTTGCCCCTCCCCCACTCATGTTTTCTCTCTCTCTCTCTCCCTCCCTCCCTCCCTCAAAAATAAATAAGCATTAAAAAATTTTAAAAAAACTTGGGTTGGTTACAATATAATTTTGTAAAAAACTTTTTTCATGGTACGGTCGTAAAAATAATTGTTCTCTCGAGGTGAAACTTGGCTTGCCCACATTACTAGCAACGTGATATTCCCGTGCAATGGGTAGAATATTGTCCCTGTTTTTTTTTTAACTTATTTTTTTAGTGTGTATTTATTTTTGAGGAAGAGAGAAAGAATGTGAGCGAGGGAGGGGCAGAGAGAGAGGGGGAGAGTTCAAGCCCTGAGCCGAAATCAAGAGTCGGGTGCTTCACCGACTGAGCCACCCAGGCACCCCATCCCTATTTTAAATACGTCAAAGGCGGTAGGACGACTTTTCTTGCCGCCACTGGGGCCCTGGACAAGGGCTTGCCTCCTGGAGATGCCAGATTGCCTCTCATTTATTTCCTTAAGGAGGCAGAACCGAACATACGTCTCTTCCAATGCACCTCTGTGAGCCGTGTCACAGATGAGTGTGTCAGGGGCCAAGGGGCAGTGAGATGATGGCCCATGTGACACAACCCTTGAGGTGCAAAGAGCCCCCAGAGGGGAGCAAAACCCACGCCCCCCTCTCTGCCTTTGTCTGGAACTCTCTCCGCGCCCCTGAGCACACGGTGCCTCCTTCCTGGTCTCTGTCTTCTGCTTCTGTATGACAAGGACGTTGCAGCCAGGCTCAGGATTGACAGATGCTCGCCTTCTTATCAGACCCCCCTTCCTGAGCCCATGGCAAACAACCAGGTCCCCTCAGGATCTTCCTTAACACAGTGTCCCAAACAGCTGTACCAGGCTATTGGAAGTGGTGTGGGAAGGCGCGTCGGGGTCGCGTGCCTGATTAGTCCCGCGCTAACCGGCTGTGTGACCTTGGAGACGCCATTTGTCCTCTCAGATCCTGTGTCTTCATCTGTGTAATGGGTTGATGAGAGTATCTGGTTCCCGGGGTTGCAGATGTAGGGACTCTGGAAAGTCACGGGTGCAGGGGGCCCGGCACACAGGGGTCTCCGTGGAGGGTGGCTGCGGGAGCCCCTTTCGGGGTCACACGAACTCGTACGGTGTCGCCACGTGGCCCTGGTGGTCACGCAAAGGCCTCAGAGCTTGGCCGGGCCTCTGGCTTGGGACGTTCAGCGCCCGTCCCCTCCCCAGCCACCCACCCTGGGCACCTGCGGTCGGCATCCTGTCCAGAGGCTTCTGGCTAAGGAAGGGGGTGGGGGGAGGCCACCAGATGGAAGGTCTGGTCACAGACCCCTGTGACCAGAAACTGTCGCAAGCTTCAGTACCAGGAGAAAGAAACCACCTTTAGGGAGTGGCAGCCGCTTTGTAGAATCCCTCCCTCCAAATTCACTGTCATTTGCTCCAGGCTCTACTCGGCCAGGTTGCTTCTTTGGTTTGCTTTTTACACCCGGAACCCCTGTCTGTTAGTCCCGGCCAGTGGCCTGGCCTTCAGTGGCCCCCAGGCCCACTCGGCGTGCCTTACCGGTGGGGGGAGGGATATCTTACTCTGGGAGGGGGGAAAAGGGCTGGGAGCTGGGTTCGGAGCCCCCAGTTTGCAGGAGCCTCCCCTTCCAGCACCAGGCTGCCCTTCTCCCAGCACCCCGTTCTGGGTGGCGAGGCTGGGGGATGGGGCCCCGCCAGCCCAGAACTTTAACGTGGGGCTTTGGCTGGAGAGTAAAACCAGACGGGCTTTGGACGCCTGGGCGCATTCGCCAAGACCGTCGCAGAGCCTATCAGCCTTCGGGCCGGGAACTTTTTAAAAGTGTGGTTTTGTTCTCCAACCCAGAGTTTCTGATGGCCCACGTTAACAAGCCCCCCAGGTGAATTCAGAGGGTATTAATGGGAAAGTTCTGAACAGAACTCCCCCGTGGTGTAAGCAGCTCCGGGGGGAAAAAAATGCTCTTCTCCTAGTTTCAAGGGCGAACGTGGCACTTTGATGTGGGTCCGTTTTCTTATAAAGTCCCCTGCGAGGGGGGGGAAATGCTAAAATTTAACCTGGAGCCAACAAATTACTTGCAATTTGCAAGCACACGTGCTTACCTCTAGGGGCTAAAGGCCGTAGTGTATATGCATGTGTGTGTGTGTGTGTGTGTGTGTGTGTGTGTGTGCACGCATATGTGTGTGTACGCGTATGTCTAAAGAGAGGGAAACCCGCTTCCACTGGCCGACCCATTTTAACCCGCTCAGATGGAGATCCTTTAAAGATCGTAGCTTCCTTTTTATTTTTAATTTTAATATTTATTCATTTTTGAGAGAGAGAGAGAAACAGAGCACGAGTGGGGGAGGGACAGAGAGAGGGAGACACAGAATCCGAAGCAGGCTCCAGGCTCTGAGCTGTCAGCACAGAGCCCCATGCGGGGCTCGAACTCACGAACTGTGAGATCATGACCTGAGCCGAAGTGGGAGGCTACACCGACTGAGCCACTGGGGGGGGGGGGGGGGCGGCTCACAGCTTCCTTTTAAAGGCAAAACACGACATGGACGTGCCCATGCCGGCTACCCTCGAATAATAAAAAAGGCGCTTCCAAAGCGGGCGGCTTCCTCCGGAGGAGCCGGAGTGGGCCTGAAGCGCACCCCGGGGCTGCAGGGTTGATTTCGGGAGCATTTCGGAATGAGGAGTCGGCTTGGAACCTTCCTTGCCGAGAGAAAGAATCCACCCACATTGCTGAGCTGTACCCCCCCCCCCCCC